GCGGGAACCGCGCGGGAAGCGGGAATGCCGGAGCGGGATGCGGCGCCGCAGGCAAAGCCTGCGAGGCGTTTGTGAGGAGAGGGTGAGGACGGAGCGGGTTTGTGGCACATTCTCGTAGGGAAGCCCTGTGGCCCCGGCGTCTCTGCAGCAGAACTGTTCCCTAGCGAGAGGCTGAAGCGTCTCCTGCATCCATCAGCACGTGAGCAGGCTCCCATTCTCCTCCCCTCCATGCTTTCCATGAGCTGCAAGGACAGGGAAGGATCCAGCCCTGGAAAAAGGGCATGGAGGGGGCTAACAGAGCCAGTCTGCGTTGGGAAGGAGATTTCCAAGCAGCAAAACCCTTCTTTTGTCTCGTCTTGAAGCTCTGCAGTCCCCTTTAAGCTTAAAGCGGCTGGTAGGACAGGCCTGTCGCTGAATGTTAATCTACCTGCTGGAAAGGGAAGGTTTGCCCAAAGCCCAGCTGTGGGAGAACCTATTTAGCTGACGAACCCTGTGGGAGCCCATGGGACTTGTGTCCTCTCCTGGTGGCTCCTGCTTGGAGGTCCTGGGCGTCCGGGCCGGTGTTTCCTTGGCTCCTCTCACCAAGCTCTCCGAGAGCCGCTTAATATTCTGGGAGCAGCCGGGTGGCAGGAGGCCGAGCTGGACGGAGGGGCAGCGCCGCACGAGTCCTGTGAAAGCAGCGACCTTGTGCCGGAGCGCAGCCACGGCGAGCTTGGAGCAACGAGCTGAAGGGAGGGAAAGGAGCTGCAAGGCAAAGGAACAGGCGCTCCCTGCTCCTCCGAGCACCCCGAAACGGGACCCCGCAAGCAGCCAGTGCCCTGGCACTTTGCACAGGCCGGCCTTGCCCTTCGGAGCATGTGTGTATCTTAAGGAGGATTTTCTTGGGATCTGGGCACTTGGGAACAGCAAGAAGCACAGGCCGGAGCTGGGGGATGCCCCAAGCTCCAGCTGGTGCCGCCCTGGCTGGCTCCGCTATTCCAGGGGGGTTTCCAGCATCCATCCTCCTGGCAGCATCGCGGGGAGGTCCCCATGCCTGGTGGCTGCCCCTGCGCTCGGCTGGGTTAACCCGGGTCTCCCGTGTGTGTCAGTGGCCTCATGGTGTCCCCTCCGTGTTCCCAGGGTGTCCGGGAGCCCCGCGGAGCTGTGCACAGGGTTGTGTCCATGCAGGAACGTGCGCGGTGCCGCGTGCGGCTCCGTCCCCCGCGCGGTGCCGGGCTCGGCGCCTTTGAACCCCCAGATCAGGTGAGGGAGAGGCAACCCGCTTTCATGTTTCCCAGGCTGTTTGTTTGTTTGCCTGCCTGCTTTAAATAGCTTTGAAGTGTCTGAGAAGCGCGTGGGGCTGCTGGAATCGCCTCGGTTGACCAGCCCGCTGCTGACACGACGCAGGAAAGCAGCCAGGCCTGGCCGGCCGGTGGCTCCCGCGGCGAGGCCGAGCCGGGAAAAAAACCGCCACCGGCTCCAGCATGGAGCCTGTCCTGTCCTAAACCAGTCGGACAAAACGTGTCGGAGCACTTGGAACTGCTCATATTGAGCATCTGCAGCCCTGCTTGATTCACTGGGCAGCTCCAGCCGAGCCTGTTTTCCCCCCAAGCCTGGGCTGCTCTGATCCTCGTGCCCTGAATCCGCAGGGCTTGGAGGAGGCGGCGCTGCCTCCAGCCGAGCAGCTTTGGGCAGGGAGCGGGGTGGCCTCGGGCCTCCTCCAGGTCAAACTCCCTTAAAGGATTTTGTACGGACGGGATCGCTGGCAGCTCCTGGGCCCAGGAACAAGGCAGGAGTTCAAAGCCTGGGGACAACCCAGCCGCAAGGAGGCGGCTGACCGCGATTCCCAGGCTCCGGAGCAGGGCCGAGTGTGTCGCTGCTCTCGGAAGCTCTTCCCGCGGGCGTTTGATCCGCTGCAAGGCTCTGACGAGCGCAGAGCGTTGCCGTTCCTCCTTCCCATCCTGGATCCCTCCGTAGGCCGCAGCCGCCTCCATTGGGCTTGTTTGGCTGTTGGGGACGTTGCGGGCGTTCATTACCGCGTGTCGCTTCCTAGTTCATCCTCGGCTGCCTTTTGATCTCGCTTGCTCAACGCGACCCGATAGCGGGAGGTGACGGAGCTCTGCTGGCTCCTGCCAAGACCTTGGCGGCGGTTCCTGAACCAGCCCTGAGGTTACGCGGCTCCTCCCGCTGGGTTTATCTCCGAAATTCCTCCTCTCTCCCAACTGCTAAACCCTGCGCAAGGCTACAGCCAACGAGGTCTTCCTCTAAGGCGGCTCCGAGCTCCAGCAGCTCCAAGAGCTGCGTTTGTCTTCGCTGGGTGACAAGGTGCTCTGCGCTCTCTAGCTTCTGTGAGTACAAGCCGCTATATTCATTTTTTCCCCCCTTTCTTCGCTAAAGCTTTATTTTCAAACAGCCTTAACCAGCTTAGAGAGAAGCTAATGCCCGTTGCAATGGGAGAACGGGAGTGGATCGTGCCCCAAAGCACAGCCAGCAGTAACAGTTGTCATCTGAGATGTGGCATCACCACCAAGGGACAGCCTGGTGCCACCTGTCCCCAAGGGAGGCTCTTGCTCCAAGTCCCAGCTGTAGCTGTGCAGCACTGCTGCCGTTTCAGCCTTTTTTTCTACATGTTGAATATACTTTTTTTCTTGTAACAGTTTTTCCATGGGGGGGAGAAAAAAACTCTGCGAAATTGTTATTCTGGAAAAGGCTTTTGTAGCGCTGGGGTTTTGTCTGGAAAGCTGCTATTTGCTCAGCTGCGTGCTGGCCTGTGCCAACGAACACACAACTTGGGAG